TTTGCTGCTTGTTACATTCTTTTGTACATTGTTTCATCATAATGATAGAAATGAACAATTACTCGGATAACCGCTGAAGTGACGACGTGCATGTATTATACATGGCTGGAGATAACTGATAATAATTGGCACGGAAGTCCCGCGAAAAGCCGGCAATATTGAAGGGGTGTATTTCATAAGATGGATTCAGCAGCCAGACGACACACACTCTGCAGAATAGTGCCATGCATACAGAATATAGGTGCTGCACAGGAACCGGTGGTGTAATGGTTTAGCAAGTCGTGTGAAGATTTCAAAAGGAATGGTTCGATTCCCTCCTGAATCGCGAGTGTTTTTGAAAAGAGATTTCGTTCGCGACAATGATAGTGAAGGACAAGTTTATCTAAAATAACTGTGCTTGATATATTACGGCATTCTTCTAATTTCAAATATTCCGCATTGACAGCCCTGATGGAATTGCACACTGCTACGTGTGTTACAGTCGTTTTAGCATGATGAAAATTACCCTTTTTTTGGAGGGAGGGGAGAGGAGGGGGAGGGGGCGAAGGTTGGAGAGAGGAAGGCAGCGAAAAGCCACTTATATTTTAAGGAAGAAGTTTGGAAAAATAAATTTCAAGTTAAGCATGAAATTTTCAAAGTTAGTAAAATTCTCTCTTTTTCAAGATGATGTTGCACCAGATATTGACAGCATCGTTGACAGTGGCAGTAGACTCACGACTGTTGATCGGGATGAGTGGCTAAAGTGGACTGGTGCTCCGGATGGTCGCGGATCTCGAATTGCTCTGCTATTGCGACTTCCTGATGGCAGCCGTCAGTTTTTGGAGATGGAAGATACAACAACACTTAAGGTTTTCCTTCTGAATGCTTGTTGATACGCCTGTAAAACATTGCAAAATCGATAAGACACGGTGCTAAACACGAAGCCTAAATATATCGGCGTAATGTGGTTTTTCATCAATCGGATGAATTTTTGCAAAAAGTTAGGAACGATTTTTACAGAATGATAAGTAACGTCCATGTGAAGGCCGATTCAGAAGTGGACGGTCCAATTGGGGCGGCTGAAGGGGGTTAAATTAATAAAAAATTTTTTTCGCGACCGTTGGTAATCCGAACCATAATTTCTGAATTAATGACCAGTCTGAACCCCAAAAACGTGAATTTCACGTTCTTGCGATAAAAATGCAAGCGGAACTATTTCAGCGTTTTTAATCTTATAATCTTAAGCGGGATTCCCATAGGAAGAATATTGCTTTACAGGCTGTTTTCATCTTCGTGGCCAGTCTTGGATTTTATCCATCGGACCATCAGCTGGTACTGGACTATCCGAAACGTGTTTACACGGATGCGGACCACTATCGTACACTTCGCGAACTTGAATTCAGCAAGAGAGAGCTGGTTCATTTGGAACGAAAATGATTTACTAACATTCCAATCCGCAGTATTTGTTCTGATTGATCAGCTGTGGGAAAATTTTTTACACGGAAATAGGGTGAAATTGTTTTAATTAACCGTATTTTCAAGGGAAAAAATTGCTCGCAACTTATTAGCTTGCCTCACTTCCACCTTTCTTGCTTCAAAGCTTCCCTTAGAAAAACAGCTTGAAAGGCGCTTTAGAAGCAGTAGAAGCATAGCAGTACCATTTGCTGTTGAAGTAATTAATGGAAGGATTATTTTTTTTTTTGTGTTCATCTTTCAGGCCGTGAACTTTCGACTTTTGGAATAAAATTTCAGTTTTTCTTGTAAAAGTCAGATATTTTTAGAATTTTTCTGGAGGGCAACGGAGGAAGTTTTAACTTTTGGATGTTTCCAATATTTCAGTCTTACAAAGCTTACTGCCAGGAATGTACGGACAGTCGGTGTTGGAACCCTTATCCTAATAATGATATTGGGATACTCTCACGCGCTGGACACATGACCCTGTTCCCTTCAAAAAATGTATAAATTTACATAAATTTTATTTCAGCATTATAAAGGGAGCTTTGCAGTCCACCGGCTCTTATCCATTTTGGTGGTAGTTTCATTCTTTTGCTTTACTGCCCTGAGGCTCAAGATGAACTGCCTCATGAGCTGTCCGAAGACAGAAAAAAAAATTTCGACAGTGTTGTGCTTGAAGGCTTTATTCTTACTATTTTCGCTGTTTTGAAACGCAGCGGTGAAATTCTGAATTTCCGGAACATTATTTCAAATGTCCATTTTTTTAAACCCATAAATTCCTTTCATTTAGAGCCATTTATATGGCCAAAAAAGAAATTGTTCATGGATCTTGATCCAATAGATATCATAAATCTTGGCTTCAGATTAGAGAAGAAAGCTGAAGCCAGCGATTACCGCTTACAACTAGATTTGTATTAATCCGTTAAGCTTCATCGCATTGGTTCAGTAACTGCCATTTTCATGCATTCTTTTTTTTAAAATTCTTTGATGATCGTCTCGCTCCACCTCTTCCTATTCCTGCTTTTCCAAATGGCCCAAAAAACTCCCATTTTTCCTATCCCTACTGTTTTGAAATGGTTTTTTTTTGGATCCAGCAGTGAATGAGGGAAATTTTGCAGCTATGGAGGTAGATGAGTGAGAGACCAAGGAGGCGAAAATGGATCACTCAAAGCAGTATCAGAAAAGCTAATTTCTATCAGTTTTTAAATTTCCTAGTTTTTCGAAAGAAACTTCGGTCTCCTTATGCTACTTATAGTTGTAAGCTATCTTTTTTTTTGTTGTATTATATTTGTGCTATAAAACTGAGCCTAACGTGAAGGAACACATCAGTAACAGTTACTAACTTAGGATACCCACACTAATTGCCGAGGGCGATCTTGGTATTCTTGGAGTATTACGCTGCCTTAATGTGTGCATTTTATTGCTGTGCTGAAGTTAAAAAAAGAGTTTTTCCGGCTATTGGAACTCGATTTCTTTTGCACTGTTTTTTTTTTATTTTCTAGATTTAATTTGGATTTACGCTGTAAGTGTGAAGATTTTTTTTATGTGAATAGTATATTTCGATGGATACTGGATAAGTTCCGAGTAAAGTACCACCAAAAGAAATAATAGATTTCATGTAATTTGCATATTAAGCAGTGGAGATGCGCTTTTGCGATCATTAATTTACTCCCTCTTATAAACCGGCTATATTTTTTTGATAAAAAAACAAGAATCTAGTGAGTATTCGCTTTCGGCGGAATAATTTTTTTTTTTTTGTTTTTTCTTTCACCATTTGTTTGGATTTGTATATGAAAAGAGTCACTCTTGTGTTCGAATTCACTATAATTTTTTTTTTTCATTTCGAATGGCCTGATATTACTACTTGTCAGTCAGATTTCTTGTGTTTCATCTTCATTATTATTCGTAAATGCGAATGTTCATTGTTTTTCTTTTTTCTTCCCTTTAAAATATGAACGTTTCTTTGATAAGCCAACATTGGTATATTGAGAACGAGTGGTTGGCTTTTAATTTGGTGAAAATTAAGCAGGAAGTTGTACACATGGGGAGAAGGGGAGGGAGGGGCGGGGCGGCGGGAATGCCGGAATCTGAGCCAAAGAAGGAGTATAATACGGGTGAAGGAGCGCAAGTCTTAGACAGAAGGATTCAGAATTCAGCCATAAGAACTCCGCTTTTCACCTGCTAGGTACCGGAATCGTCCATGTAGGAGGGAAAGAATTAGAGGGGGTGGGG